TCTAGCTTTACTGCACCGAGGTGGTAGCACAGCTTTCACAGTATTTCTATCCCAACTTTTGCTCCTGCGCTTGCCCGACCCACGGCGGTTAGAAGCTAGAAATCCGAATGTCACAACGCAAGACCTGAAATCTCTGGAATCTATATGCCTGTGTTCAAACCTTGTCTCGGCCTCCCCCGCAGGTGAACTGGCACACGCTCCAGTCCTGGGCTCGCATCACGGCATAATCTTCCAAGAGGGATTTGCCAACTCAGCTGCTGACGGCCCAATCTGCCCACTGGCAGTCTACGTCGATGCCCTGTGCCGAGACAGAATGCGGAGCTAAAGCCCAAACATCACGGAAACTTCACGAGCAGACGACTACGCTGCCACCACAACAACAACACCACATCCGATTGAAGCTAGCTTTGGAGGCAAGCAGTTCGTTGCTGGCTTTCCAAGCCTCCAGAATTCCAGTCCTGAGACATCGAACTGTGAGAGGGAGGGAATGGACAGATGATTCAATTGCCACTACAACCACCACCATTACCACCACCACAATAGCAAAGATACCGATACACAGGTGGAGCCCTAACCTCGCGCGCCGGTAGATCTGTGGGCACCTCCGGGTCATCCTACACCGGGAATGCTACCAAGGCTTGCCACCGGATCTACCACAAGGTTCGCCGCAAGTCGTAACGTGTCTCAGAACTCTGCAGGTATGTGCCAAGCTGCTCCCCCTCTGCGTTGACACTGTACGCGGTAGCCTGCTCGGCCACAGCACGAAAATCAGGCTGAGCGGGTGCAAATGTTGCAGAGACCGAGAAGATCGCTGGCCACACCATCGTCACCAGCAAACTCCATGAACACTTCGCGCCTCCCTACCAGCATCCAGAAGAACGTCTCCTCTGGCTTCAGCTCGCATCATCCCTCGGATCATGAACATGCACTTCTCCGCACCTGAAGTTAGATTCCCTACGAACCGACGGCTAAATTCGCAACCACCACTGTGCCGGTGCCAGCAGCCAGAACTTGTTTCTATTTTCCCTTTTGCAGTCACGACGCTTTGGTTTGAGGTTTCGGTTTGTCGGTGCAGTACTAGCCACGCACCGCCCTGCCGCCGCTCTCAGCCCTTGATTGCGACACCACACCCTGGTAGCCCCCCAACAGCCACACCTGCTGTGTTCTTTCACTTGGGTTTTTGCTGCTTTAATTTTGCGGCCAGCCTACATACATACATACATACATACATACATACATACATACATACATACATACATGCATGCATACATACATACATACATACATACATACATGTGCATTAATATATATATATATATGTATATATATATATATATACGTGCAGACGACAGAGACAGGTTTCTTGTGACTAGACTGGACTTGTAGAAGATTGGCCAGCCAGCTGCATTGTGCCCATACCGATGTTGGGTGGCGACATCGGGACAATCGGCACAGCTGTCATAGTTGTTCTTCTACTGCAGTGCTCTTCTCTGAACGCTTGCCCAGCTTCTGGCTGCAGTCGCAGCAGAATGGCCCGTGCCGTCCAGCAAAGACTTTTCTGCCTCGATGGCGAGAGCAAAACGGCTCATGGAATTGCGAAGTGTTCACGAATTGGGAGTAGGCCGGTCTGCTCCTTGCAGACATGTTGGGATCCATCACAGAAGGCAACAGCTTCGATCATTCGCTCCCAGAGTCCATCTGGGGATCGGGAAGTCGTCAAGACTTGTGGGAACTTCGCCGCCCTCACCCCCGCTGCTTTCTTGCCTGCTCCCTGGATGACGCGGGCAGGGCTGCTCCAGCTGCAGTGGCAAGGGTAGCCAGAAAAAACCTCGGATTGTTCTGCGCCTATCCCTCTATAAAGGGAAGGTGTTGCCACTGGGCCAAGGATTGGAGGACATGTTGGGGGTTCGTGGCAACATCTCATTCCAATCCGGTCCTCATGTTGCCTAATGCGAATTCGAGCATGTGACAAGATTTGTTCATCCTGTGAGCACAGGCACATGCGGCGAGCGCCATCAAGCCAAGCTTCATCACCGGATGCGCCGCGAGTAAGCGGAAGCCCCGGGAAGGCGCTGCAGACTTAGTAATGATATGGATGTGTCTCCTCAGTTGCAGCAACAGTCAAGACGCCTTGGACCCTTCTGACGCCGTTTGCGTCTCAGGCTGAACAAGCACGATCTTCAATCCTCACCGCCACTACATTTAATGTGGCAGATGACTGCCCAAGTCAGTCCCAACCGTCTTGCTGCATCCTGGCTGCATGTATACTACTGGTCAGAGCACACGGTACCTCGATGGAGAAGCGGGGTATTGTCAGCATTGGTGTTGTAGCACTCGTCGTTATTGAAAACTAGTGACTAGATTGTGCTGATCGTTGCGGTGGTGGTGGTGGCTAGTACTAGCACTAGCACTCGTACTAGTACTAGTACTAGCAGCAGTAGTAGTAGTAGTCGTAGTAGTCGTAGTGGTCGCAGTGGTCGAAGTGGTCGCATTGGTCGTAGTAGTCGTAGTAGTCGTAGTAGTCGTACTAGTCGTACTAGTCGTAGTAGTCGTTGTAGTCGTTGTAGTCGTACTAGTCGTACTAGTCGTAGTAGTCGTAGTGGTCGTAGTAGTCGTAGTGGTCGTAGTAGTCGTAGTGGTAATGGTACTGGTCGTGGCTGTCGCAGCGGCAGCGACAGTAGCAGTGGTAGCAGTATCGGTAGCGGAAGTGGTTGTTAGCAGTGGGAGCGGTAGGGGTAGTGGTAGTGGTAGTCGTAGTCGTAGTCGTAGTCGTCGTAGTAGTAGTAGTAGTAGTAGTAGTAGTAGTAGTAGTAGTAATCGTCGTCGTAGTAGTAGTAGAAGTGAGCAGCAGTAGCAGCAATGGGAGTAGCAGTAGTAGCAGCCGTCATTGTCGTGGTGGTCGCTGTCGTCGCTGTCGCCGCAGTCGCAGGTGGAGTCACATTAGCAGCAGTTGTAGTAGGAGCAGTAGGAGCGGGAGGAGGACGAGGACGACGAGGAGGAGGACGACGACGACGATTGCAGTTGCAGCTACCGCGAGAACAGCTTTCAAGAATGCCGAAGTAGTCAACAGTAAGATCTTTATACTGACACTACGTGTTGAACAGCGGCATACGGCTAACTAAGAACGAGGTAACAAAACATAAACTACCGAAAATAAGAGTATCTGCTAGGTGGCCTTGCGTCAAGCCGGGAGCAGCGTGGTTCGGCATACCCCCCGCTTGAGCCCCCTGATTTGAGGCGGACACCAAGAATGCTTGCAACCTACAGCAGACATGTTGACAGCGTATGCTTTGAACCTCCGCAACGCATGATGCAAGATGAAACGGCATGCGCAGCGACGGCATCGTCTTAAAGGAAACCAAGAAACCAGTTCATACGAGAACGTGGTTCACTCACATGCATGCATTTCCCATCATGACTACATGCCTACCAAGTCTAAGCTATGCTCAGCAGTGTGCGAGGGTTGGCTGGAATCAACGAGATCCTGCCAACCCCGGAAACTCCGACATCTTCGATCCGGACATCCGTGACAGCTTGCTCCAGACATCCTGTGACACATGCTCTCGTTCTGAGGAGGTGACCCGCGGGGGAGTGCACGTACTTCAAGGCACACCTGTGTGGCGTTCACACGGTCTCGTCCTCCGCCATAGGCGGCTTGGGCGCCGGTGCTTTGCCATCGGCAGCTACGACGTGCGACTGGAGCGTGGCAGGGAAATCACTATATCAATGTCCGATGTGAGTTGCCACCCTTCATGCCATGCTCTGTCCGTGCTTAAGCTCTGACCTCTGCAGATCTCGGGGTCTCACTCGATGTCCTCTCCACCGTCGCCATACTGGGTGCGTTCGCCCTGCGAGCAGACTGTGCAGAGGAAGCCGAACGGCTGAACGCAAGGTCTCGGCCATCCCCCACCTGTGAGATCGGGTCGAAGCTCATGACGACGAAGCCTCGGCAAAGCAAAAAGCACCGGCGAGGGATTAGCGTCTGCTTCCGTGTTTTTGCAGAGCGAGTCCGCACAGGCTGCAAGCCGGCAGAACAGAGCACTCGAATCTGAATTCCGTGACTCTACAGCCAAAGGCTTTCACAACCCGGGGCCTCGCTGCGCCAGTCCCAGCGAGAGGCGCTGCCTGGCCCGCTCAGGAGCTCCACGGAGCTTCACTGGTTCACTGCAACACTTCTGAGCTCAGACTCGGAGCTCCGCGTTCCCAAACCTACACCGAGCAAGCCTGAAAAATTCTGAATCGGCTGCACTCACCAGCGACCAGCAAGCTTGCAACACAGCCGCAGCGACTCTTCGGGATCCTGGCACCCGCAGCTCCCGCGACACCCAGAGATCCGAAGCTCCCCGAGGATGCACGGGGACAGGAGCTGTCAGGAGCATGAGGCTGTGAGACCTTTGAGGCCCTTATTCGGCTTTCCGGGCTCAGGGGTAGCGCTGTCCCGCAAGCCGCCAGCCAAGTGCCCCGGCAAATGAAGCACCTCGGGGATCAGCTGCTTACGCTACTTAGCTGCTTGTCTGCCCTCGTTCGTTGGCCTTCATATGCATCAAATGAAGCTGGAGCCACCGACATGCAATGCGAAGGCTGTCCATGTCTGAGACGAGTGCTGGGAGAGGCGGGGAGGGATTTCAGGCTTCACACAGAGCCCTGCTCTGATGTCCAGTTTCCTCGGCACCGGACTGCAGGCAGCTGAGCAGAGCCTCAGTGCAGAGACGTATCAAAGAACTAAAATAAGGTTTTGGGCCCATTATACCCTAATTAAAATAAGGAACTCACAAAATAGCAACTTCCACCCGATCACATCGTCCAGCAACGGTCTGTTTATGTGCGGGATGGATACCCCGAAGCACGCGGGGTGCTGATGTTACACGAAATTCTACGACGACAACTACGACGAGGACGACCATGACAACCAAAAACCACAAGGAGAACACAAGCGAACCAAGAAACCAAAAGGAGACCACCAGGACACCTAGGCAGACCAGGAGACCCGATTCAGGAGGATTGGGGGAGAGCACGGCCAGAATCCTTTCCGGTTGGAGATAGGGGGTCGGTGGAGGGGCGGATCGCAGACGTACCAATCGGAGCCAAGCCAGAAATTGCCCCGACAAGACCGCAGAATCCAGTGGACCTGACATGCACCTGCGACTGAGGCCAGCTGGGCTTCGCATAAGACGAGTGGGGATGAAGCAAAGCCCCGTCTTTGAAACTTGGCGAGGCGGCGACAGAACATCCTCGTCAACCCACCCAGGAAGAGAAGGCAAACAGGAGGTGCCAGTGGCTCCCGTGGCAATCTAGACCAGATAGCAGGCACACTTAATGATGGCACTGGAACTGCGACCTGAAATCAAGGTAGTAGCACCTGGGCAACTGGGCAACTGGCTGTGGCAAGTGAGAGAACACCATACCAGCAAACATACCAGCTGCACAACCCCGCACGAAAGGCTGAAACTGAAAGCTCCTAGCGCTGCTCAACCACATGCCGGGAGCTCTCATATTTTACTCTTGCAACCTCTTGCACATCAAGATAAATAAACAAATGAATCACAAAGCAAATGAATACATCAATGCACATGTTGTTGTTTGTGTATATGTATATGTATATGTATATGCACATGTAGGTGTGTACACCTATCTATGTACTTATCTGTCTATCTATCTTTCTATCTGGAGAGCCTCCCGAGGCTGCCGAGGCGCTGTTTTCCATGCCAATAGGCACGAAAATCACAGCAGGCACCGCCTCCAAAGTCAAGATCCATCCATTTTTGCTTACGGTCCGGTACGGTGCGGTGCCAGCGTGTCATTGCGAAATTGACTTACTTCAATAAATGCTCGAGGTCTAGAGACCAAAGGGCAGGTTGGGGCGGTAGCTGGTAGCTCCGTCATCACGGACGGTGGCTCGTGGCTGGAATCTCACTGCTCTGTGTTGCAAGCACTGAACCTCTAACTACTTCAATACCAGGTCTATGGCGATCTCCGCGCCTGCCCTTGCCAGGATTCGAAGAGTAGCATCAGCACCGTCACACCTCTTGGCTCGTCCTGAGACTAGCGCGGGTCACTATAGGTCGCCTGCAGGACGCAGGACGCGCCGCCCACTTCTCCAAAACCTCCGAAGCCGTCCAAAGCCCTTTAGCTCCGGGCCCGGCCTTGAAGCGACGCACCTGGGAGACCCAGACCCTCAGACCATCCGCTCAGCCGCAACTCCGAAGGCGTGTCCGAGAAGGCTGCGATACCGGATAAGATGGGGGCTTCTCGTGCGAGACAAGGCTCAAAACACACCGATACGAATCGTCGACAGGACCCAGTCGCTGAAGATTCAGGGCCGCACCATTCGCATGCTGGGAGCCTTTTGCGGGTCGCCAGCACCAAGCATCCGGCGAAGGATGCGCCTGACCTCTCCACGGCAACAGCTCTCTTGATGGGACACCGCATCCACCGCCTCCCGCCGCCTGCGTCTGCTTTGCCAGCATTGCGGATGCGTTCTGCAGTGCATCCAACTTCCCCTGCCGGCGCCCGAGGGCCTCATCCTGGCTACAGTATGTACCAGGAAGGCCCCAAAGCAGACGGCAGTTTCAACACCACTTAGGGCTACTGACCGACCTGCCATCACTGAACAAGCCGGCAAGGCAATCTCCCTCGCCTCAGGAACAAGCAGGCGCACCACACCGGAACCAACAACTCGCTCAACGCCGAAGGCCATGCCGCCTCTCAGGCCTTCACCCACATCCGATGCAGCATCATGCCGGGCCTTGCCGTGACTCGTGGAGCAGGCATGCCACGATGTCGACATACTGTGACACGTTAACTCTGGGCGCAAGGCGTCATGATGCCTTTCTCGTAGCAGTCGTCCAACGACTCGCATGACACCTGCGGCTGTGCTCGGCCCCTTGAAGTGTGTGCCTTGTTGAGTCAACATCACACCTTGGAGTAAGGCCTCCCGCACTTCACCATCGACCAAGTCGTGGCGGTAGATCCTCCCCATTCCCTATATTGCCAATAGATCTGACGACCACTCGTTGTGCAAATCGCTATGTGGCTGCACTGCACCCCCGGCTTGGAAGCATGTTCGGAGTCCCGGCACTGGCAAAGCGCAAGGTGGCCAGGCAGCGCGCCAGCCACGACATCAAGAATGGATAACATGCTCGACTGAAACACTGAAGAAATAATTCGTGTAACAAGCTGGCACACACACCATCAAGCCACAGTGAGTTGCCGCTTGCGGAACATAAGTTGACTCGTTCACCGGTCTTTAAAGGCCCGTGCAAGCATCACATCAGCTTCAGCCTCGACTCCCACTCGAACCCGAATATTTCGTTCACGTGTTCGCACTACGTGTTGGTACTTGTGGCAGTGTCCTGTGGACAACACATCAGCTACTTATCACTTATCTCGTTTTCCAGAATATCCATAATTTCTGCAGGTCTATGTCCATCTTGGATTCGAGCCGCCGGCGATCTGACAGGCTGACGTGAGGGGGCTGAAAGTGTCCGAGAATAGTGAGGCCGTTACGGTCTGGTCTCCGCGTTGTGACGGCTAAGAGGCATCAGCACTTCGGAAGATGAAGGAAACCCCGTAGCGTGAAACGAGACATCGGATTTCAGGGTTTCGGACTATCGGATTTCAGGGTTTCGGACTGTCGGGTTTCAGGGTTTCGGACTGTCGGGTTTCAGGGTTTCGGACTGTCAGACGAAAAAGAGCAGACGCACTGCACTGAAAGAGCATCCTTCAGGGCTCTCCAACAGCTGGCGCTCGATTCAACATGAGCACGGCATCTGCGACATGCAGCACATGCTTCGGTAGACGATTGCTGCCCGTTGTGCAAAGAACCGTCAAAGAGATTACAAGTTTTTCTAGCGACGTGACACTCTGTCTGCCCTGGAATTACTGCACGGCATGTTCTGCTGTGGACTGCTAGGGTACTTGGTTGATGCAGCTGTGAGTGCTGCACCAGTACACATCTGTGCACGCACAAGGCAAACGCATGGAGTTGCATCATTTGCATCGACAAATGGAGAAACGCTGTGACTCTGCGATCCCAATCCGAGAAGAAAATAGAAGTGGAGCGGAGCGGGTGCAGCAAAATCAGTCGACATTCTGGCAATGCCGTGTTGCTGTGTTGGTGTCCAGTTGGTCTTGTTGATATTTTACAAGTCGCATGACCTCCGTCCGAAAGCCCAGTCCCGATCACTTGGCAAAGTGAGAGAATCGGGATTCCACCCATTGCATTCCAGGCTTTTACGAACGGGAAACTTTGAGCGCCGATGGGAGTATCTCTGCTGCAGCTGTCTTTGGCGGCAACGGCCAATACTCCTAAAAGCAATGCGGCAACGCCAGCTAGTCCAACGAACTTCTTCCGAAGTTGGTCACTTCAGTATACCTTGTGCTTCACCCGTTGCTTTCGCCTTCACACTGGCACTGACTTGCACATGCTGCACATACACTGTTGGATGCAATGCCGATGGGCATCGGCGAAACCAGGACGCCTCGTCAAACGTGTGCAGAGCCCCAGTAATTGACCTGAAGAAGGGACATTCCACATGTCTCAAGAGGCCACTAGGTGTGTTGATGTGCAGGACGGCGACACCTCAAAGTTTGCAGGAATTCCATGCTCGGCGCCTGGACAAGCACCAAGTTGCATCGATCATGCGTTCGAAAGAACACAACGTGCAGAATGCATTAATGACCCAGGTCTGTAACGACTGCCTGCACGCACTCTCGCGTTCACAGAGACTACGACAGGCGGCACTTCCATCCTCCCAACCTCCCCCAAAGGCTATCAAAAGTTGTGACTGCCTCGGGCTCCGCCGGCTTCGCCTGGGCATAGCAGAAAGTATGCTCTACTCGAGGCAACGCTGTGGCATCCGGAACACAATCCTTCTCCCGCCTGCGTCGGGTTGTCGCAGACACCAATGAAGAACTGGTTAAGTAATCGAAGTGAGTACCTTCCGGATTAACACACTGGAACGTAGCAAAGATCGGGCTGTGGATGCCACTTGCTTGCATGCGCCCGTTTTTGGCGCGCATTCGCGCGGCTTGGATGCACGAGGTCGAAGCTCTCCTGAGGTCGTGATCCCGGAAGCCGTGGGAGTCGTGTCGCTCCATATCGCTCCATGTCCACTTCGATGCTGTCACCAGTCCGGCCACGACCGCCCTGCTGCCTTGCACATCTGTGCATGATCAGGGCAACGGGTAACCGAAGTTGACGAAGTCCGCTGCATAGTATGCACCTATGGGTCAACATGCAGCTGACGCAGATTGTGAACAAAGCGCCCATCGCTGGTATGGCGGAAAGGCACGGATGTATGCAAGCGTCTCGTTGCTGACATCACCTCTTCTGAACATCCGCTTTCCTCCGCCATTATCATGCCGCAGTCCTGAGAAGATGCACCCTCTGTCATCACGTCCGTGCCGCCTTGTCCTGAAGCGCCTTGCTTAAGCTAGTGGGTGACGTGGCCTAAAATGGCCTGCTGACCAAAGACAGCGGAGCTGTTGCAATTTCTCCGAGTCTCTTTTGAATGTAATGTTGTACAGACCAAGCCTGCAGCACACGTCCACACACAACGAAGCTTTGTTGTCATTGTGGACACAACTTGTCTGTCGAATGCAGAATCTGAGCGACACAAAGCGCAGATCTGCATTCAGGTTCTCATAGCGCACGATGTGCTGGGTGACATTAGGATCTGCATCTAAGTAGTCCTTGCAAACATCAGCAGTCACTGAATCCATCGTGGGGAACTGCGTCGAACATCTCGCCTAAACTTTGCCCCTCCTGCCCTTGTAGACAGGGGGCTGTCATCGTAATAAAATGGCCACCAGGCGTTCCTCCTTGACGCACCCTCCCCTGCCAGAATCCAAGCGTTTTTCGGGCCCAGGGTCTGGGAAGTGGGCAAATGAACAAAACGGCGCGCACCCCTGCAAAGGGGTCTCGTCTCAAGGCTGCCTGGATAGTTGCCGGCCTGAATCCACTGGTTGAAGTCTTTCTCGGTGTGGAATCTGGACTGCATGTAGTTCACACCCTCGAAGCCACAGTGATACCTCAGAGTGTTGCCCTGTCTGCCCATTCCATGTCACTGGCCCATGCGCTCGCACAGTCTTGTTGGCATGCACTGCTGGGAAAGGGAGAATCTCTTGCACACCCAAAACCCGAGTCTCCTCCAGCCTTCCTACTTCGTGCTCTGACCTAAACCCCTGTGTCATAAACAGTGTTCGGCAGGCTGTGCTATGTACACTATGTGTGTGAATGCATGTATGTACGTATGTGTGTACGCACATATGTATGCATGCATTTGCGTATGTGTATGTGTGAGGGTATGTACAAGTGTAAGCATCAGCATTTGGATCAGTATCAGTATCAGTATGAGTATGAGTGTTGGTACACGGTACAGCTAAAGTTGAACCTGCATGCAACTGCATACGAAAAAGGATGTGCATCGGCAGCTTGGCTGAAAGAGGCATTGAAAGAAGGAGCTATGGCATGGCTGAATGGCTCTATGCAAGTGTATACTAGATGAATATGCATATGTCACAGTGAACATGCACATATACATATACATGTGCACATGGATATATGTATGCAACATGTATCCGTGCGACTACTCCCACAGTGCAAGCTTGCTGGTATACAGAGATATGTAATGTAGATAGGTTGGAACCCTCAGTTAGATACATAGCTACGCACACGAAGACGAATTATCAAAGGCATGCGTCTATTCTTTTCGGGCCCCATTTGCGACTTAGCGTCTCTGAGACGAAGCGGTCCACGGGGTTTCGGCTCACCAAAAACCTCGGCGACGACGTAACTCGAGGACTTGGTCCGAGATGCAAAGGCAGATGCCCTGAACAAACACACACACGCATTCATCAGAGCCCAGATTCCAATCATACTTTTCACGCTTTGTCGCCGGAAAGAACCTGGACATAAGACTTTCATAGGAGGTTTCTGCAACGGATAAGGCTAGAAGGTTGCTGCTTGAGTGGGCCTGGCAATGCTGAAAAACAGATCTGCATAAAGCTTGCAAGATGGAACCGGAGCCAGGGAGTCATCGAAAACTTCGCAGACCCTCATCGTGTTTTCTGTCATATTTGCTTCCTACAATAATAGCTCTGACAGGGCACCGGAACGCCCCATGCTGGTAGCCGTACTCTTCACGGTCCCACGCGCCCCAGCGCAACTGCTCAGGCAAGTTGATGCCCAACTGCTCAATGGAGGTCCCACCTCACGGCCCGACTAGCAGCGAGCCACCCTCTCTGACCGGAGATAGACATGCAGAAGGGACCTCGCCTGTCTTGCTGATGTGGATAAACCTAGAGTTCAACACGAAGCTTCGAGTCAAGCCCAGGCCGGTGGATCGTTGCTTCAATGCCGAGAGGCTTGAGTCCGTGAGGCCCAGGGTGTCGCACGCGCAGTGCAGATTTCAGCAGTTCCGGAGACGGGGCTGGGTCCTCACTCAGGAACACAAAGACTGCTACAGTACGAGACGGTCATGATCAGACCAAGGCTGCCTCGTTGTCCTTGGCGCCTGCTTTCGCAGTAGTGAGCACTGGTGTGCCTGTCGTGGTTCGCGGTTCTGCTTCCGATTCTGGCCTGGCGCTGCGCAATCCACGATGCTCTTAGCCAACTCTCCCATCCTCCCAGCACCCTTCTTGTCTCGCCTGAACTCCGACCCATGTTCGGACACGTCGCTGGTCCGAAGGGCCTGCACAGACGAGCCGCAAAATCGTTTTTGGAGCCGGGTAACCTGCAAACTATGTGCAACTGCTCTCGCTGCAGCCTGGGTGGTTGAGGTCTCGAAGGTCTCCACACTTCCTTCTCCTTCCCGTCGCGAGATGCTGGTGGCATCAAAGCAAACAACCTGAGCTGTGATAGCAAGCTGCCCTACAACCCCAGAACCCTTGCAGCTGCATCTCACGCCAGGAAACAGTCAACACCCCCAGGAAGTAGGCAAACACGCCCCTGATGCAGCAGAATTCTCGCTTTGGGTCGGACAGGCTGCACTGATTCCCAACACACAGAACCAAGGCACAAGAGCGAAGATCGAAGACAGGAACTGCCCTTCCCTTGGGCCATGTGAACCGAAGCGATATCATCACTTAGACTTCGGGACTTCTTAGTCTGCTTTTGCAGTTGGAACCAATCTGTTGGATCGTCATATCCAACACCGATGTACTGTAGCAGGGCACTTGTGTGGGAAACACTGGCTGTTTTGTAATGCGGCGGCGGCCTTGAGCAAAGAGGCTATGCAAATTCGATGAACGCGACAAACAAGCTGCAATCACACAAGCTGCCGCAGCCAAGCTCAGGCAACTCGAAGGAGCAGTGGGCTAACAACGTGGCCCACCTCAACCCCTCGCCATGCGTCCTCTCGAACAGGGAGGTGGCATCCTGCGGTACACAGCGTTTGCCAGTCGGCATCGTGCCTTGTTTGACAAGCTCTCGCCGATTCGATGCACAACCCAGCCCCGAAAACAGCACTGCATGCACACGCACGAGAGCATGGATGCAGGGCACTAGATGTCAGAAGGTGATATTTTCACTCCCATTCCTGGCCTGCGCTGCAGCATCGACGACTAGCTGACCACCGCCGGGATGCAGCGAAAGGAAGGATGTCACATCGTAGACCTTCCGTTCATTCAGTCTGCCTGCTCCTGCTCCCAGGATCTCCCAAGTCCTTCCCATCGATGAGAAGCCACAGGTCATCCTTGGAGTTGTGCCTTCGACTGGACGTGTGACATCCGTATCCGCACTGGCTGACGAAAGAGGTCCCAGCGTTTCCACCTCTGACCAAGCGATTCGAGCGACGTTCTTCGGCCGCAGGCTGTCCATGGTGGACTGGACAGACGATGTTCATCCAGTCAGAGCTGCAACCATGTGACTACGAATCAGCAGCCAGCATGTCTAGAGTCTAGAACCACCTGGCGCCTCGTGATCGCATCTAGGCAAGGATGCGGTTCCCTCCTTCGGCCTCTACAAGAGACAGCAGCGGCTCGTGGCCGCACAGAGATGCCGCACGCTGGAGAGTCGATAGCCGCGTGACCTCAAAGCCGAAAGGAGAGACGTCTTCTGTGCGAAGTCTCCAGTCTCCGGATGCCAGGTTCGCCACGTCTACACCGGCCGGTCGTCGAAACACCTGGCGATAGAAAGGTCTTTTCGCGAGGGAAGCACTGACCCCTCACCTGCCTTCGCGCCGAGGTGTCCCCGGGTGCGGACCCGGGATTTCAGTCCGACAGAAGAATAGATCACCTGGAGCAGCAGAGATAGCGCATTACAGAGCGTTTTACACCCTCGCGATTCCCATCGAACGAATCCGTCGTCGACCACGTCGATGAGCACACACACACACACACACACACACCGCCGCATCAGTCGGTCTCAGAGGTCCTATTCCGCGCAGGCACCTTCTCCCGGCCGATCTTCTTCGTCCACCGCCCGTACTTGGCATCACGGTTTCGCTCCTGTAGCACGGAGACGGAGAGCTCCCGCCTCCCCCGCTTTTGTAGAAGTCTTGTGTCTGTTTGTCTTCTGTGGCCTTTTGCAGGAGAGAGGAAATCTGACAGTGAGCCCATTGGAACGAGGATCAGGCGTTCATCGTCTTCAACAGCTCTCGTGTCCAGCTCGCCTCCTTCGGGACGTCCTGAAGCTCCTCGCTTTCCCGGGGCCGCCGGTCGTACCAATACCTCGAAGATCCAAGGACGGCTGCTCCATGACTAGTTCGAATCAAGTTGCTGAAGCTGACCCTCCTCAAGGTATGATCTGGTCTCGCGAGCCTCTGAGGACGTAACAGACGCTCCTTTCCCTTTCCTTCCTTTGCTGAGGTGCGCACGTGAGTTGCGCCAGAGCAGCAACGTCTATCCAAGGCAGCTGCAGCAAAGCCTCCGGAAGAGCTGAGAAAGCCCAGGCTCTAAGCGAAGCGACGGAAGTGCGACGGAACTGATCGTGCCTCCTCCTCGGGGACCATGCCCTCACACTCCTTGAAGTGGCCCAGAAGCGCCTTAGTCTGACGACGGCCCGTGTGGCTTTGTGTTGCTCTGGACTGTTCCTGGGGGCCGAGCCTCGACCATCTCAGCATCAGACTCGCAGCCGAACTTTTGGCGTAGCTGCTGCCTCCGTCTGAGATTCTGCAAGAAGTTTGGTTCCGCAAACGTCCCATGAATAGCTGCGGCATCATGGAAATCTGGCGTGCCGTCTATCTGGGTGGAAGAGGTCGTCAATTTGCAGGGAGTGGCATGGCGCGTGGAATGCACCGCACACTCAGTGCCTCGCCTAATTCGCTCGCACTCAAAAGCAAGGCCCACAGGGACCTGTGCCGGATTGACGCACGTCGCAGTTCGTCACAGCCCTTTCTAGATGTTTCCTCAACGACACTATGAGGCATGAAGCAGACGGCGCATGGCCGGACAGGAAATCCGCCCAACGATGCCTGAGTCCTACTTTGCTCGAACACTACATATTTCGACGTTGTCTGCCGGTACATAATGGACATCAAGCGCGATTGTTTGAATTCGTTTTCGGCTATCAGAACCAATCATTCGTCACGTCGCAACTCGCGGCATCACGCGGCCGTGCCATTCCCCTCGTGTGAAGTGGACGTGGTTGTCCCGCCGAACTCCCAGCAGCTTTCCTCGCAGATGTCCTTGCGAACATGTCACTTCAAAGTGTCAGTGTTGCGAGATAGGGCCATGTGCTCGCTCTGTGCTCGTTTCCCTCCAAAAATGGCAAGCTCACTGCTGGTCAGAGCGATGGTGTTGTCCGTCGATTCCGTTAACAGCCTAGAGCCGACATGAAACGCACTCTGCCAGTGCTTGCAAAATCGGATCCTCTGGTGGTCGTGCTCGGTCAGGCAATTTCATAATATTTCAGACATATTCCGATTCTAGGCGCAGTCAATGGGCAGCGACGCCACAGCTTCCGAGCTGCAGCGTGCGCCGGATGAGACCGATCCGCAGGCAGAAACGGCTCGGTATCACACCTCCACAACATCCAGATCGACATCCTGCCCTGTCGCGCCATGCTCGACCGGAACCTGCACACACAAATTGAAGACGGCTCACACCTCGTTTCGACAAGCTATCAGAGCAGCCTCACATTCCACCACTGGCTCTTTGGCCGGCCCCTTCTTCGTCCACCTGGCAGCTTGCGTGCGCTGTGCCGAGCGACGCTGAGATAAGGCTGATCATCGCGATTCCCCGAAGCTCCCAATCTCTTCCTGAGCTCAGGCAGAAGCCTCTCGAGCTGCTCGTCGACAAGCCTACTCATGCGGATCGCCCGCCTGAGCCGCTGGTACCTTGCGCGAGGCTCTCAGGCAGTGCCTGCTGGAATCGAGCTGAAACTTTGACATGCGAAAAGCTGACAAGTCTAGAACAGTTTTCTCTTGCCGGGCGCACACCAGCATGGAGAGGCCTCACAGAGACTTCCGTTCCACAAGCTCGGCAGCGCCTCCTTCACCTTGAGAAGCTTCCCGCCTGCTGCAGCGAGAGCCAGAAAGAGCTTTTGAAGGGCAGATCGCCTGACAGGAAGGTCCGAATGCATTGCTCTTCTTCAGAGCCAGAGAAAACTTCTGGTATCAAGATCATGTCTACAATAAATGTACGATGCTTCGAGCATTCACTAGGGCCGCTGCCATTTCTTGCGCAGCCAGGACCATGCAGGCACCAAGGGTGAGACGGCAAGCCCTGCGTCTCGCAGTTGTCCAGACATGCCTTCACACCGAGAAGGCTTGTGGCGGTCGGCTTGGTCTGACTGCCAAGCTGCATAAAAGTTGTTGTTGCTAGCATGTGAGTGCTCATGTACAAACAGGCGAAACGCCTTTGCAGTAAAGCTGATAGCCAAAGGGCAGCGATGCAGCACCTAAGCACAAAATCTTACAGTATCAGCGGCTGCAGCAGCTGCCGAAGTCTCGTTTCTTGTCCGTTGCAAGCTTGCAGAGCTTCCTGTCCACCATGAGTCCTGGATATCGAGGGACATGACGAATTATTGCATTCTTGTGTACGCCCTCTTTGCAGCCTGGACACGCTCGGCTCTCGCGTGGCGGAGACCAACAAAGAGCTCTGCAGCCTCCTCCAAGGCCTTCCCCGCGAGGGCCCCAGAGCAACGGACAGGACAAAGCTCAAAAAGGTGTGTATCAAGGAGAAATACGGATGTTTTTTTGTTTATTGAACCTCTTTTCGTCCCTACAGCATGCCGCAGGCTGGAGAATTAGTGATGTTTTTTTCTTTTACGGTCTTTTTCCGTCTGACGGAGCATCCCTCATTCAGAATCCACATTGGTGGAAGGCAAATTACGGATGGAGATGTGTGGGGTTGAGGGTGAATCCTAGCAAAGGTGCTTCGCAAGAGAGCAGACGGATTGTAGCTGGCACAGATGCCTGAAGGACCCCTGAACTCACAGGAAGATCGTCTGAAGTTCGGCGACTTCTCCTAGCAATCTTGAAGAGTCCTTCCCTCCCTCCGTGGGTCCGAGGGGGCTTTCTTGAAGAGTGCTTGGGTGTGGGAGGACGGCCTCCCAACTTCGATTCCAGATTTTCGGGGCGAGGCACCCATCTCCATGATGTCTAGCACAATGGAGTTAGTCTTCCCCATAGTGGTTCTTCCAAAGGTCTCAGAAACGTGTTCCTAAGTAACATGAAAACTAGCTCTGAACCCCTTTTGTAACCCTTTTGGAACCCTTAAAGCAACCAAGCTCCTCGATTTTGCTTGAAAGGGAAAGCCCTGGCCAGAACAAGTGCCGCACAATTGTAACCCTTTTGGAACCCTTAAAGCAACCAAGCTCCTCGATTTTGCTTGAAAGGGAAAGCCCTGGCCAGAACAAGTGCCGCACAACCTCCAAACCATCGATCTACCCATCTGTGGGTCGAAGCATCCGTTCAGGGTTTAGGATTTGGGAAATGCGTACATGGACGGCCGCCTCGAACACGGTGGCAGGCCCGCTTGCACCGCGTTTGCGGCTGGCCGGGCGGGCGGCCTGCAATTGGCTGGGGATGCTTCGTCGATAACTCTTGCGCTTTTAAGTCATGTATTAGTGCAAGTGCTGTTTTTACAGCACACCCTGTGTCTCAATACACGGCTCCGTTATGCCTCAGTGTCGTGGCAGACTGCAGGCACATGTACGTCCTCAGCAGAGTCTGAGACAAAACCCATAAGTTAGAGACACCCGTTTCACGGCCTTTGAAGCTGATGGAGGGTCTGAAATCGGCGGAGGTACCGGCCTGGATACAAGGGCTCAGAGGTAACTGCACGTTTCACAACGCATGCTCTCGGGATCACATTGAAGCTGTGACCTTGCATCGGAGTGTTCACGAGCACTTACAACGTCTGCAGAACCAGCAGAATACGCTCATGTCCGACGAGCTTGTGCATCATGTGATTAGCTTCTGTATCTCCCACAGCAAAGTACAGACCTGAGATTGACCTGCAGCCGGCAGCAAACTGCCAAACCCAAACTAGCCAATGGTGCCGATGCATCCCGGAATGCCTGGATGTTTTCGGATCTTAGGATCTACTATTGTGACCACTACAAGCCGAAACTGTCGCAGAAGCAACTGCATCCCCATCCTTGCCAGAAAATCCTAGCTAGCACCGGGGCATCTGCTCACGAATTGGCGGCACGGCGGCAGCTTCCGCATCTTTGGCAGCCTGCGCAAATAATTGCTGTGCATTTTGTCTCAAATGGCTGGTTCATTCTCGCCTGTTCACGCAGGAACGAAAATTCGAGCGCAGTAACACGTGTCCATCCCAATGCAATGCATGGCAGAAACACCAGCGCACCATTGTCACTTCTCGACAGCTGGACAGCTTGAGAAGCGCTTCTGATCGTCCGGGTTGTACTTCTGTTGTGATCATCACAGTACCCAGACAACTTTGCCTCGTGCTGAAAGGAAAAAGCGACATGCGCCAAACAGGAGCTTTGCCACCACCACAAGACAAGACGAGATGCGGCCGCCGACAGAGCACGGATGCTGCGGGATGAGCTGCCAACTTCAGCGGCTACATCAAGACAACTGTTGCCGTCGGAGTTAAAGCAAGCTCAGTGGGTTTCTGTTCTGATCATCACGATGGCCAAAAATGGAAAGACCTGTTGATGTTCACCTACAGAGCACACCCCGCACCAGTTGTTCAACTGCTGTCCACGTTGACAGCAACGATTGGAACCTGACGCAAAAGGCTTTGCCAGTGGCACAAGATAGGACGATGCAGTGCACAACAGAAGCACGGATGCATGCCAGCTGCAGCAGCCACGGTACACAGCTATGGCAGTCAGGGTTAAAAAGCTCAAATTCGGCTCGTCACGCATCGTCCGAGTTGGATTTCTGTTCTAATCATCATTGCCGGTGTGCATAGCCTTGTTCAAGCGCCCTGACAAAGAATCCTGTGGGCTGAACTACGTCCCTGAAGCGAGCGCCTTCCTACTGTCGCAAGACAAAGACATCCAAGCACGCAGCACGATGCGGCCGGCGACAGAAGCTGACATGCCGCAGCATGAATTGCCGACTACTGCGGCAGCAATCGAAGCGATCCACATGATCCACAGCAAGCCTGTCTGACGTCCGCATCTGGACAGCGCACAAGCAGTAACGAACCGTCCGAGTTGGAAATCCGTTTGCAACAGCAGGGACAAAATGCAATTGCCTGGAAGGGTGCTGCATGGTGCTGCGCAGCTACCTGAAGAACCAGAAATTCAGAAACACATCCTGCCATCATTGGCTCCGATTTCATGAAGGAACAAAAACACCAGATCTCCGAAGCACTGCGAGAATGTGCCAGCTTGACCCACTTTCTGCAACTTGACGTTACAGCAAAAGTGTGAGCTGTTGCGCGTTTTGGGCACTATGTCATCATCCTTGACGAAGAAGTGATGATCTGCAAGGTGCACACAGCACTAACGAGAGGTCAACCTGGCATGCCTTCACACGTGAAAGCCCGCAACCCAAACGACATCTTGGAAGCAGCTAAATTCGACATGCCGGAACCAAGCCAAGCTGCAAAAACAACACAGGTACTGTGCCACTCATGCAGCCGCTAGGAAGGTGCGATGCGACCGGAAACTGCCGGAACACTCACCCTCCAAACGTTGATATAAGGGTACTAGAAGGGTTCCTTTCAGGGTAACTACTGTCGGCTACTATGAGATCTTGAGCCGAAACTGGGTCACTATTGGGGTCCCGAGCCTTTGCAGCTGCTGACGCGAGCTCGTTTGGCACTTCCAAGGGCTGCTCGTCCTCCTCCGAAGAGCTTCCAGATGCTAGTGATAATTTCCCTTTGTAGTCTGTGTCTTTTGTGCTAGTACTCTTGAAGCTGTATATTTATATATCCCGCTTTTTTGTCGTCACGAGAGGAGGAGGTCCCGGAAGTTGTAATGAGATTACTATATCTGTATCTTTGGAACACGAACCCCGGCGTACTTCCGGCGAGTTGCCGGCATGCCGCAGAGCCACACCTGTGTCAGGGCTCCGTTTAAGGCTTGAGGAGGTTTACCGTTTATGTGGGTTCGCCGGCCGGGCTGATCTCTCCACGACTTGCTGACATGCATGGCAAGCTCTGGCTCTAGCAAGGCAGCGCAAACCAGAACCTGAGAAACACTCGGAAACCAATACATCTCACGAAAAGCCAACCAAGCCTTTCTGTCGCAATTCTTCGGCAAGTCTCCTCCGCGCAGTGCAGTTGTGCCAATCCTGCAGCCATCAAGGGTAGGACATCGTTCTGTGCTTCAGTTGTCCCTCACTCCGCGGGCCTCACCCTCAAACAACACGCACGGCAATTTGTTTTTGCCTGCGGGCGAAATTTGCATGACTCGAGAACGGATGCAGCTGCATGATGCAACACATACTGTCGACGCATGTTTCATGTCAGCCTTTGCTGTCCTTCCAGACAATGCTGCAACACTGCGCGCCTCCGTGCTGATTTTGTGTCCACGCAGCTTTGGCCAGGCGTACCAAAACTGCGGCACGCTCTGCTGCCTCAGCCCCTGTTGATCCTGGCAGCAGCAAAACCATGGCGGTCCCACGAAGGCTCCTTTGAGAGCGCTCGCCCGCGCCTGTTGCAGCCAGCACCGGCCGCCATTCCCAGTCAAGGCCCTGCGAAACAGCGAAACGGCGCAACGCCGCAGCGGCACGGGCGGGCCTCAAGAACCGGAAATGTTGGCACGTAGCAGAACTTCCCCAAGCATAGACTGCAGCAATGCTGATAAAAGGCCGTAGTCGCACATCCACTGCTCCACACACTTCACGCCGACGCAGAAAATCAAAGAGCTGCTCCGCACCTTCGGAATCGAGGATGATGCACCAAAAGCAAACACTTTTGGTATGCTGAATACGCATGCACTGCTTGTGCTTCAACCATCAATACAACAAAGTAAACCAAAACCTGCCTGTGTGCGTCGCAACATTCACGCACAGCACCGCTGCAGCGATGTTGGTTTCGGCTTCATCGTCAATGACAATCACATCATTCCTGAATGATCTCTGCACGACTGCCGCTATCACAAGACCCTGTTGATGCACGAACACAAATGGTCAAACCTGCACCAAAACATATACGTGTAGGTGTTATATATACATATACATATACAATTATTTTTCTATTTTCTATCTGTTTATGTCGACAACTGTAGCTTTGTATTCGTTTCGATATTTAGTTATTTAGTATGTGCTGTTACTTATGATTACATGTACAATTGCTTGTTTATGTGTACGGCCGCCACAGTGCTCGACACCACTGAGCCCTGCACGCTTCCAAATCGATGATTTCACCCATGCGGCATTTAAAAGAATGGACGACATGCAATTCTGCGAATCAGTACGTGGAGAGATTCTGGAGCTGGGAATTGGGAACGAAGTCTGCTTCATGCGAAAGAGCCAAAGGATGGCGTCGCACCGAAACTGCACAAACCTGTTTCAAGCAATATGAAGAAAGTAGCATGATTTTAGCACGATGCTGTACACCGGTGTGCAATACAGTGCTATGCTACAAAACACAAACAATACAATACTGTACAGCACAGTACAATACAATACAATACAATACAATACAATACAATATACAATACAATACAGTACAATACAGTACAATACAGTACAATACAGTACAATACAGTACAATGCAGTACATTGCAGTACAATACAGTACAATACGGAAAGAGAGGAGCAACAGACTGTGGGTGGAGTGCGCGGCTGCGCGGGACATTTCCAGCAGTTCGCAGAAACAGAAGCATCGAAGAGCTTCGCAACTGCTGCAGGCAGCGGCGGAAGCCGAAGGCGGAAGACAGCAGGTTTCTATCTTCGTGTCCTTTTGCATGTGGACCCACAACTACAAGGACAGCACGTCACGACACCACGCCAAAAGAATAGAAGTCACACGAAATTTTGATCAGAGTTTGACGCAAGCTCTAACTTGGACATTTCAAAAAAGGCCAAACGGTGGTTGTTTTTAGCAGCTGTTGTTGAGGGCTGAATCTTTGAATGAAAGCGAGACAGAGCAAGTCGCAGCATGTCGCTGGAAGGGTTCGCATTTCTCAACGTAAACCAAATTTAAGTGTCCAAGTCCTCTTAAGCCGCGAGCCTTCATGTACTCACGGTGGACGCAGGCGGCAGGACGCTGCCAGTGCAATCCGGACAGAAGTGCGACGTGCTCACGCGCCGCACTTGATCCGAATGTTCAACTGCGGCAAGACTTTCTCCAGCTGAACTTGGTGCAAGAAATCGAGTTTGCCAAGCTTGAGATGGCCACGCGTGTCAACGTGGGCTTGAGTGCAAGAGGCCAACGTCGCTGCACGGTGTCAGAGGCGCTCCTAAAAAAATTCTCGCAACCGCAAGTCACTCTCTCCATAAAGCACAACCGCATCGACAAAGAAATGGTGCGTTCATCGGCGTTAAAGGCGCTCCGCAAGAGTCGGCTGACGGCTTTAAGTGCTTGCACGCGTACTGAAGCTGGAGCTGACGGCAAATTCCTGTCGAGGACGATGTGCAAGTGTTCCTTTGTTACGAATATATAGTTAAGGGGCCACTTATGGTAACCCTTTCCAAAACTGCAAAATAATGTTACTACAGCCGCTTTTGCCACATTGTCACTACAGAGTCACTACATATACTGCAATGCCACCACAACGTCACTACAAAGCTGCAGAAATAGCCTTGAAAATAATGATTTAATAATGACTTAATAATGATTTGATAATAACTTAATATTGACTTAATAATGCAATAACAACGAAGCAACAGTGCTACAAAGATGATTGAAGACTTAGTAAAGACTCGAGAAAGACTGCAGTTTCATCGTGAAAGACTCACAAAGACTAAGAATGTATCCGAGTCTTTACACGGTCACTACGGTCACTACACGGTCACTACGCGGTCACTACGCGGTCACTACGCGGTCACTACACGGTCACTA